CGAGCGACCAAAGGCCAGCGCGCGACGATGAACAGCTGACAGACTCGGAGGGACGTTGTACTTCAAAGATTAGTGCAACCGGTGCGACCCCCCGAACAAAAAAAAAAGTTTACAGAATGGCTGATTTGATTACAGTATTGCATTTCCAATTAATGGAATCTCCAAATAAAATAGAATGCATTATGCATGATCTCTCTCTCTCTCTCTCTCTTTCGCAGCGTGGAATATACTTGACTCTAGAACCACTCAGCCATTGCCGCACATCTCTCGCCAAGAAGCCACGGGGCGGCGGCATGGGACACTCTTCGGAGCCGCAGGTCTGCATGTTGCGCATCTTAGCTTCTTCCTGGCTGTGGCTGTCATGAGTCATGGCACACTGAAATTGGAATGAAGACACCAACATCAACATGGCTGTGATCCAAGTTCTCCTTGACCATCCTTGACATCATGATAAAGTACTGATACACCCCCCACCCGTTGATATAATACGCATCCACTGAACTCCACAGTCCAAAAAACACCAGACGTTTCATGTATATATTTCATAGGCTACCTTACAACTTACAAAGTAGGCTTAAAATGCTTAAAAGGTACATGTGCCGAGTACTCATGTAAATGACGAGGGTTCTATGACCGAGGAACTTGCGATAATAATATACATCTGGTATGAAGCCTTTGGTTGTGAGGAGCATCTCATGCTGAGCTGGATCTTGTTCCTTTATTGCTGATCTCGTTGCTCCCAACATTGAAACATCTTCTCAATACTCCCAAGAATACACTTTTCACCACTCTTCCATGCGTCTGCCTTAAAAGAAGAGACAAGTCAATACCCCAATCTTCCAAAGCAACTCATTTACAACATACTAAGAAAAACATAAGACACACCCTACGTACATCGGAACATCTTTATTGAAACAACACAGTCTGCCTTCTGCCTTCTGTGGATCCCAAATGCGGATCCCACAAAATGCAGATTGAGAGCTCTGGGAATCGGTCATAGAGTGGTTCAAACCTCTCCCAGAGCTGCTTCTCCTGTTGCTCTTTGAGCTGCTTCTCCTTTGATGCCGAGATTGTGTCCCACAAGGCCTTCACATGTTGCTTCACCTGCGCGAACATGAACCCGCGTGGAAGGGGTCTTCTCTTGAACGTGAACTTCTCTTGAACGTGAAAAGGTTTTTGGATCAGATACGATGCAATGATGCAATTGTAGATGAGTCTGACCAAGTTCATCCGCACATCTGTTGTTACCTTTATGATTGATCCTTTATCTTATCTGCGACAGAAACCGTGTGTTCCAGTTCGGGCTATGAACTTTCTGAAAGAACATCGCACATGTCCATGTCAATACCCTCATCGCACACGATCACCATCTGGATTTGTTCAAAACCGTTCGCTGATCGGACGACGACGAATGCCTCTTGGAGCTTCTGCGAGGGGCTCACCCGCCCGAGCTTGTCGCCACTGCCCGCTTCGTAGGACATCAGGTCGGGAGGAACCTGCCAAACTGCCGGGAGTTCCCTGGTTAGCCTCGGTTCCTGTCACATCTGTCACATGTTCCTTTTGGCTGGAAGAATCCTATCATATGAAGCATTTGCCATCAGGTCAGAGTCCCATGTTCCCTTGTGTTGCAAAGCCTGATCATCAGGCTCCGTGAGACATGGATTGGATTTAGGTCTCGCAGCCAGCGTGTTGTTTTCTTTTTGTCCAAAAACAATGCCATCAAAAGACCGTTCTCTTGTGAAGGATTGAGGAAATGGTCGGTGAATGACATGTTCTTCTCAGTTGGGGATCGAGGTCGAGCTTCACATGCTTCCTCTGACACTGCCTGCCTTAGCCGTCCACATCCTCGTCACACTTCTAAAAATGCCTGCCCCTGAGCCTGGTATCGAACAAAGAGCTCGATCAAATCTTGCGTGAGCTGAATCTCCTGGCTAACGTTCCCCGCAGGATTCCGGTCGATAAAGATTGACTTAAGCTTGAGAAAAGACCACTTATGGAGGATTTGTTTGGACATGGTGGGAATGGTTGGGAAAGGACCCGAAACATGCAAAAAGACCACATGATGAGATTCATTTCCTGAGGGTTGGGACCGGGACGATGACGGGTGGTGAAGGCTTTGGAATCCCATACTAACTCTGACTCTCTCTCTCTCTCTCTGGACAAAACTTCGAAGCATCAATTGGGATATCTAATGGATATGCGAAGATCCTGTCGTATCTTTGGAGGGGGGGTGAAGAGAGGGCACCCTATTCAAAACAATGAACATGATGAAAGAGCTTACAGGATCTTCCTCTTTGGTATGTGAAACACTCGACGAAGAACAACTCTCTTTCAAAGTATCTCTCCAGAATAGAAAAAACACGCTAAAGCAAGTATTTCTCGTAGCTTGAATAGTATGAATAAAAACTCCTTTGCTGCACTGAAAGCTTCTCCTTGGTCAAGGAGTACTCAGGCAGGTTCAGCACCTGCCATGACTCGCTGCTTTCCAAGAGACCCTCCCCAAATCGTGTCAGGGAATTCCGCTGCAACATCTCTATTGGAATGCACACATCCTGCAAACACCAAAAGAAACTGGTCAGGTGTACAAACACTGCTGAATTGTTTCTTGCCGCCTAACTTTCCACAAAAGGCCTGTGGCCTATATGAAACTCATTCTAGTGGTGTGCTGGATCTCCATTTATCTTCTTCAGCTTCTTCATACCCGCTCCATTGGGCTTGACCCGAGGTCAAAACGACCAAGGCGCGCCGTTCTGAATGAACTCCGATTCTGCCCATCACCATTCTTTTGGTGGTGTTTCATCGGTATTTGTGGCTGCCAAAAGTTTTGACTGCCTGTACTCCCACCCAACGCTGGCTTCTTTGTCTCCGTCATGCAGGACTGCATTAATATGTGCGCACCACCCTGCATCACCCTGCTAACAAGTCCCGCCCACAACTCCCAGTTGGGTGCCACACCTTCTCCTTAGTTGCGCAACACATGGGCGCGCCCCGGGTTCGTCATTTCTGACAGGTTCGAGCGGTTAGATATTTTTGATATCTTTTGATTGCGAGGCTTGCATCCACAAGAGGTATAAATCAGAGTCCCCATGCACAACAAAAGAGTTGACTAACTCGTAGTTGATATCGATGAGTTCCTACACTGGTTCCTACAGTTTGTGTGTGTGCACATTGGTCCCATCAAACTTATACCCTCTTTCAAACCGTTGTGGTCAACTACTTACTTTCAAGCAAAACAGGGTCCAGCCTGATCATTCTTCCAAACCTGCTCCCCCAAAAATAGAACTCACAAACACAAGTCAACCAAAAATCTATAAGTATGTGAACCTCCAAGGTCATGGACTAGTATGGAGAAGAATCCAGGAAACAAGCGCTCTTGAAATGTAGGTGAAGATTCGAAGAAGTAGTGGACCTATAGATTCTAGATATTCCACATGATGGTTGTCCTCAGGTTCTTGATGGCCGATATAAAAACGAACTGGGATAGGAGTTCATCCATGTTCATCCGTTTTGACCCACACCTCCGCTGATTTGTGCCACTCCGGCTCCGACTGCTGAAGGCCACTACGCTCCTGCGGACAAAGGTCCAAAAGCGGTTTGATCTGCACCACCGCCACTGCAAAGAGCGAGCTCGACAGCTGCATCTTCCGGAAGGCCCGCGCGAAGCGTTGCTGCTCCGGTGACAGTGAATGGATCCTCGGCCGAGCAAACGGGGGAGGTTATAGGTGTTGCCAGGGTGTTGCTTTGTTGGGGGATGGCTCGTAATACATGCTTTGGGTATGATATTTTCATTGGGAGAATCCACGTAGCTGCATCGGTTTGCAAATCAAGCAGCGATGATGCATGGCTCAGTAGACCAGTTCTTTTTGTCGACCCTCTTGGAAGAGACAAAATAATACAACAAGGAGGGCTACATACTAGGCAACCTGTGAAGGCGCCACCAAAGTTGCTTAGGTGGGCAATATCTTCACATACCTATCAAATAGCTTGCAATAGTTTGATTTTAGTACTGAACATCCCCACTCGGGCCTCCCCCATACTGCAGGCCATCGAGAATGGAAACGCAGGGAAACTGCATGAAACAGCCAAAGTTCTTGAGATTCTTCCCTCGACTGCGATGAACCTGTCCACAAACATGAAAATCAGATCTTCAATGGACAAAATACGATGAACAATTCCGTTCCAGTCCGAGCTGCGCATCAATGAACTCCTTGGGTGTGGGGACGGTCTCCAGAAGGAGTGGGATGATCTCAGCGCGAAAGAAGACATGGCCAAAGGATGCCAAAGGTGCTTTTGGCACTGTGAAACGCATAGAAAGCCAAGAAATAAGTGGCTTCCTCTGGCGGATATTGGTTGATGCTTTTGAGGGGACTGCTGCTGCTACTACTACTACCACTACTACCACCACCACCACCACCACTACTACTACTCCTACTCCTACTTCTACTACTACTACTACTACTACTACTACTACTACCACCCACTACCACTACTACGACGACCACCACCACCAAAACGACGACCACCACTCCTACTCCTATTCCTACTCCTACAGCAACTACAATTGCAGTGATTGCAGCGGCAACGAGTATGATTCCGATTGCGACCACGGACCACGACTACTGCACCCTACGATTTGTTACGTCATCTCCCAATTCAGCACTCCTCAAGTCGGATTGCTTCTTGAGTTTCTCTCGGAAGTCTTCAAGTCTCCAAGAGTTTCTCCAGTTAAACTTCAGGCGCTGAAGGAATCTAAAGCCCAAGTGGCTGAACCCTACAAGTCAAAACACCGTGCGGGTCACCAATTAAACCCACTCTGTGATTTGAAACCCTAACAAAGCCTCAAAGTACATGCATGTCTGTGAAAACCATCCAGTAGAGCTTCTGTGTATTTTCGGACTACTATAAAGCTATAGTGTAGCGGGCTGTTTCAAATGACAACTTCGGAAGGACCTTTCGACACATGTACTGGCCCTGGGCACCAGGAAGTCTGAGCTTCCAGCCAACTCATCCTTGTTCTGTATGATCAGTGCTGCAGTTGGCTCAAATTGATCCTGAGTGGGTCACACTCTCCAACTGCGTGGCTACAACAGCTGCAAAAGCCCGCACCTGATAGAACACACAACACACGCACACACACGCACACTTCCAATGACTTGAATGTCTCACTGAAACCTACCAACCAGAAACACTCTGCTCTACAGAAAAAAGAGTTCAAATCGGCGACCATGCTTACACCTTGGTTTGCAACTGCTTCTGCAACTGCAAAATGATGCAATGTGTTTAAGAACAAATAAGATGTAAATTATATAATGCAATATATATAATATGTTATAATATATACATTCATATAATAACTATTTATATACTCTATTGTAATATATGCCTTGCGTGCCCATGATGCCAGAACCTCTGACCCGTGCCGTGGTGGCACAAGACCGACCTGTGACCTCCCTCTGACCAGCTGCTGATATAATGGGAATGCCGGCTATCACCAAACCTGTCGCACTCATTCACACATATTCACACTCACCGTACAAATGAAGATGATGAAAGGTGTCGAAGGACGACCCTTTGTCTTGAAAGCGGGCAGGAGAAAATCAGGAAATTCATTGAAATTCCAGCACATAGTACATATACAGACATCTGTAGCTTGCAGAAAAAACATCGTTTCAGCTCCCAGAAACTAAACACCTGAAAAGCCCACACAGAAACTGAAATACCTTCTCCCCAAGTTCTTCATCTGCAATGCTGCAGAAACTCAAAACCCTCTCTCCCCTCACCTTCCCTCACCACAAAAAGCAGCTGGTTCTTTTTCTCACAGCTCCCCGCGAGCCGGCGGTTGCCCCGCATGGCCAGTGTTCTTCCCAGCATTCGCGGCTTTTGCAAAGCCCATGGCATCCAACAGGAGGCGGGCAGCCAAGGTGGTGGTCACACCAGCAGGATCCTGAGAAGACCAAGAGCTGGTCACTGGTCAATGGTATGCCATTGGTGGGTGTGGCTACTGGTCAATGGAAGAACCTTCAAAGGGGCCAACCTTCAAAGGGGTCACTGTTTCCATGTCGTTCAGTGCTGATAGAGTCATGCAGTGTATATCTTCCTCACCATGTCTCCAAACGCTGCTGAGAGGTGCCAGCGTTTGGGTGCCTGCGCATTGCGCACAGCTTGGGGGTCTGACGGCGGAAGCGCGGTGAAAACATCGGACGCTTCAACTCCGGGATTTGTGGAAGCGTTTGATGCAAATTGGATGGATTCTCAAGTGACCCGGAAAACCAACTGCAGGGCCACTGGGGTCCAACATCTCCTATAACTCCCTCTGGAAAGCCTTTTCAATGTGTAATGCTCACCGGGTATTCCATCTGAAGTTTGGGTCCAAACATACCTTATTCATCTCATTTTGATCCACTCGGACGCCAAACCGGTCAGACTGGGCGCTTCGGGCGAAGCAGGTCCGCCGAGCCGAGCAGACCCTTCCTGAAATAATGGAAGTGGACAACCTGCGAATCATATTGGACATTTGGTCATCCGATTTCTTGGGGACATGCCATCCACCTTTTATGGGGAGGGTGTCTCAAAGCTTCAATGAGTCCGGGGAACAGCGATGAGAAGCGGGTTCCTGTTGAAACCAACAATTAACAATTCTGTCGTCCTGCCCAGGACCATTCAACGCAAGGTGAGCACTGAGCACCTGAGATTTCTTTAAGGAAAACCCATAGTTCTTCGATGGGAAGCCTCTGCAAGCAGCTGGTGCTTGTTGAACACCCAAGGCCTCACCTTTTTGCATAGAAATGGGCGACAGAATCACACAACAAAATATCGCTCGATTATGGGGTTGAAGTTGAAACCCTCCCGCTTGTTCTCTGTTTCCATCCATTTCTGTCCTGCAATCGAGATTCATATGGAGGCGCAACCTCTACAAGGTCCAATCCGACTAGCTCTCCCCGCCGGATAATACTTCGCAGCAAGTCCTGGCGATACTGGTACAAGCTGAACACGCAACACCTTGTCCAAACAGGTTCTTAGATGGTGCATCCGCAACCACTATTAAATGGATATATTGAGTTATATCGAGTATATAAGCTGTTCTTTAGGTTCAATGAATCTTCCATAGAATATATAGAGTTCTGCGGCATTCTGCGGAAGGCGCTTCTGTACCATGTTCTTATCGATTTCGACATTGACCTGTTGCGAGGATTTTGCAGGAGGCTGAGCAGGGTCCGTCCTTGACTTCATAGTAAAGGAATCCTCCGTGACTTGGTGTTCCTGTGCCTGCCAGTGAGTTCACGACTCATCACAACTTCTGCTTGGTGCCAGGGTTGGGGGTGTTCAAATATGGCAGTGGGTCAAAACCAGGGTACGAAAATGAACAGAATGACCTACCAGGGGATTTTTCATGTCTCAGCACATGTCGAGTACATGAGGCCTCTGCGAATGGCCGACGAATCCACGAAGGTCGGTCATGAACCAATTGCATTGGCAGGGGGGGCTATCTTGGACTCGCTTAAGGAACCGGGGAAGTAAGACATATAAACCCCATAAGGGGATTCTCCCACAAAAACCATCAACATCACCTTAAACATCCTTAAACAAGATCAGGCCATCGATGCCTATCGGACTATGGCCCGCAGCCACACGAGCCAAACGTGGCTGGTGGTGCCGCTGAACATGTCCAAAGCCTGCATTCACATGAGGGGAATCAGTCGGTTCGAACCAGCTTTTCAGCTAAATATGGACTTGCTCATCGCTTTTTTTGGCAGTTGCTCACATTGCATTGATATATGCAGGTGTTGCCAGGGCGTACCTGTACTTGCTTGTTTTCTACAAAAGGGGGATGTTGTGCTGCGACCCATCAACAAAGCATCCGTTTTCTGCCTCTCGCAGGTGGGTTTGATCGTCGAAAGGAGCAAGCATCCATTCCACCAGCATCCGGCAACTGTACGATCGTTATGCTTTCGTCAGAAATCTCTTCAATCCAGAAAGTGTGCTTCAATTTCCTCATCTTCACGACTCTCATCACCCAATCCATCCCAAACCTGCCACTTCTTCCCCATCCGACGGCGAGAGACCCTCGAACCATCGATGGATGTCGGCGCCTGGCGCGATGGAGGGATCAAGGCCATCGATGTCGATGCTGAAGTACACCATCGCCCCCAAGGGCACCTTCCTGAGACTTGTCGCGTCCATCAGCGAAACTCCCCGGGCCCCCAAGACCGGCCGCGATACGCGGATGGTCCCGCGCCGTCTTTTTTACGGACATCGGCTACGGCGATGACGGAGGCGCATCGGCTGCGGCAGCTGCGACGTGCAAGGGTGTGGTGCCTGATGTTTCACCCAGGGTTTGGGTAGCAGAAATCCTGCAGAAACTCTGTGATAGGAAGGTTCATGACTCTGAACCTTGTCGCCTACCACGGTCTCCACTTATCGTAATCCCAAATCCACCGGACCTGTGTCGCTAGCCGATCGGAATGTGTGACAGTAGATGGGATGCATGAATGGAGAGTCTGAAGAATATACTAAATCCTTCCAACATTGTGTCGCCCAAGGGTCTTCCTGTCACCTGTCGACATCCACGACCACATGCGTTAAACGATGTGTTACGTAAAGCCCGTAAAGCATCTAAAAACATCAAACAAAACATTAGAAAACAACAAACAAAACAAACATGCGGACCCCCGCCGAGTCCGAACAGCACACCCAAACCACCCACCGGCCCCACTGGTGGACCAGTGGCTCCGCCACCGCCGCAACGCCCAGCTCACGGACCTCGCGCAGTCGTTAGGATTCCAACAGTCCGAGGAGTGAGACGGTTAGCGTCAGGTGGTGAGACGGTCCCAGAAGGTGGTGAGCTAACATCGTTTCTATCATCAACATCAACACCAACATCAACATCAACTAACAGAAACGTGAACAAAATGCAACAACTGCTGCATCAACTACCAGGAGTCACAAAGGGGTGGTTATTAGTCCTTAAGTGAGTGGACAATGGGCACCCCTATCCTCCAATAGGCACATGTTTTTTTGTAGGAGGTTCAGTTCGTTCAACGCTGTTGCTCTTGAAGAGCAAGAGGATTTCTTTCTGCGGGTTCATGTCGAGATCAACTTTGAGACAACAGCGAATGAAGCTTCGTTTCGGGTTGGAGGGGTCAACCTGGTGTGCCAGGGCATCCCAGGGCCTTGGGTATGCCCACCCGCAAGAGAGCAACTGGGTGTTTTTGCTCGTTCCTAGAAGTGCTGACTGTTCTGAAGAGGGGTCAGTTCAAGCTTGTTTCCACTGGTGGCCCTTGAATGGATTCTTTACCTGGATCCCCCCAGAGGATTAGCATCCGCTGCAGTAGGGCACCTAATGCAGCGTGAGCACCATGATGAAGTGCCAATGTGGCAAACAAACACACACAAAAACACACACACAGTGCACACAGCTGGTGGGCATAGTAGGCATTAGTAGCAACTTGGCACGACCTGGTAGAGACTTCTCAGACCTTTGATTGACAATCGGAACACATTCACATGCATTCACAAATGTTTGGTGCTTTTAATATGAGCTGATTATGAGCTGGTCCCAGAATCAGTAGGTTAACGATGTCAAATAGTCGGACTGTTTTGGGGGGATCACTTTCATCTGGAAGCAAAAGGAATCCGCTGTTGCTCGGTTCTGGATTGTTTTCGCTCTCAACACAAAACATTTTGAGGACAGCAGGCCCCAGTCCGATTTAATATATCTGTCTCTTCAGATTAAGTAAAACCTGAATCCATCTCAATCCCGATTTTGTCCGTGTCCAGCCACAACCTGCCGAAAACAAACCAACTTCTGAGTGTCAAATAGTTTTGAATCTCCAGCTATGAACCTCCAGAAAATCCTCAATGTTTGCTGGTCCAAAGATCAACGACAGCTGAATTCCTGGAAAGAACATCACCTACATCACCTCCCAACTTGTTGACGACCACGCGGAGCAGGGGCCTTGCGCACACTGAGCACGGTGGAGCCCATGGCAGCAGCATCTTGGAAGCCGCTCTTGGCTGTGGAGCTCACACCACGGATGCCCAGTTGAAGCATTGAATCAATGTGTGGCCTAGGAGAGTATATGGATAGTTGCGAAAAGCTTGTAGGCATTGGAAGGGATGGGGATTGCAACAAACAAATTGGACGCAAGATTTTGGAAGCTGGCTTGCTTTCACTCCATAGTTTGCCGGCTTCTTCTCAAAACCTCCGTACTGCTAATAAAATAGAAACCATCTCGCGCCATGTGGAACTACACACACCAATGGACAAGCAAATGATGTCCTGTCCGGGCCGCCCACAAAAGGCACCACAGTTCACCACGATTCCCCACATCCCAGTTGGAACTACAGAAACCTCTGCAAAAATGGAATGCCAAGCATGTGCTGGTGTGATGATTTTTGTATATGTTATGTGTGTATTAAAATTAACAAAAGGGGATCCCGGCCCCCCAGATTTGACCACGCATTAATTAATCCATATTAATCCATGCATTAAATCAATCCCGTATTCAAAGGGATCCCTACTGAAGCAAATCTATATATCCACTGCACGCATTTCAATAGACAGATCCACACGCTCCTTCCGCTCCTTCCCACCGTCCACCAGCATGCGTCCCAGCTGCAGCTCCAAGCATCGCCGCATGGAGTTGCCATGGCCAAAGCGCACGCCATGACGCTGGTCCACGAAATCCAAGTGCGCGTCGATCTGCACCAAGAACTCAGCTGAACATATGGGGCGAACGCATGGGGCGAGTCAAGTCTGATGGTGTGGGCGATTCCGAGAAGGGGTGGCCACCCGAAGGAGCTGGCCTGTAGGAGCTGGAACTGGCTGGCTATAACTCTCCAATGTGAATGCCAAATTGCTGAAATGATCTGACACAGACGCGTGGCCAAAAACAATGGGCCAATTCTTTGAACCAATTCTTGGAGCCATTGGACTCTGCAATTACCTGAAACATAAGCTAGTAGTAACAAGTGCCACGCTAGTAGTAACAGGTGCCTTACTAGTAGTAACAAGAAGCTAGTAGGAACAATATCTGAAACCGTTCACTCCCAAACACCGTGGTCACCGGCTTTCCCTCCTTCGCTTCCGTGACCTCGGCCATGAGCCACGTTCGGAATCGGAACCTTCTTCGATTCTTCGACGTCCCAGTTCGGTCAATGATCTAAGAGGAATGGATTGGATTGTTTTTGTTCTTGCATGTATCATGTATTTGCTATGTTTTTGCTTTGGCTTAGTTCTGGTACAGTTCTTATTAAATTAATTATGTTGTTTAATGATTGTAATGTTGTTTCCTTTCGGTATCTTTCAGTCTTCTCTTCCTTCGGGCTTGTGGTCGCCACCGTGCGCAGCCTAGTGGCCACAGGTCTTTGCAGCACCTGCAAGGCTGCACAAACAGGCGCAGTGATCGCGTGATCGCCGCCGAGGATGATGGGTGTGACATTGGCAGACAAAATGGCCTTGGGTCGGCGCAATTCGGCCGGTCGGCGCAATTCGGCATAGGCCAGGTGCCGTTTGGAAGACCCCAAGAATCAGGGAAATCATTGAGAAGAAACATTGAAAACATTGAAAAGGGGCCAAATCTCTATAGTGACATTTTATGGTGGTCCAATAGGAAGCCGAGAGGAATGCACGAAACAACTAATGGAGCCCAAGCATGTCGAAGCATGTCATGAATCCAACGAGGTGTTCGACAAAAACACTGAAGTTTCCAAGTTCCGGGCTTCGACTGCCTCCTGAGTGCGATTCAACGAGGTTGCCTGATCGGTATGGACGATGTCCTCGGCACATGAGATGCGACCCGCTGAAAACACCCCGCCCACTTGATCATACACTAGATGGGGCTGTCCTTGGTGTCTGGTGGGTGCAGATTAAACAGGTAGAAACCGTCCTATTAATAGAAAGACGCGCTACAGATACAGATTCGAAGACATTGGTGGGCCGATTTTTTGGACCGCTCTTGAGGTGCATCAAAGGTTTAATTGCAATGACATATATATGATTAATGTTGATCTCCTGTGATTTATGGGATCCCTAGATGGAACCAGCATACTACAGCACCTGCCCATCCATCATGGACCTGACAAAACCCGAACAGAATCCAGAAAACCGACCGGATTCGCAGAATTGTGATCAACTCCTGAGTTTCTCGTGGTCCTGTCTCGATGCATACCTGGTTGACCGCCGTGACCGACTCGTGGCCCCCCCCAATCATCGCACAGCCAGCGGCTACATCTCCAACGTCCAGCACGGAGCCATAACCTGCAGCTGGCCATGAGGAAACACTTTGGCCGAGTGAGTCCGAGTTTGGAGTGGGCAACTAGCTGAGATACACCAAAATACCATCTCACTCAGGTCTCCACTCCCAACCATGACTCCTCTGAAAGGAAATCTGTGGTCTTCTCCATGCAAAGTGTCACAGCGATTTGCGATTGCTCGCTGCTGCTGTTGTTGAGCAGGTCAGCTTTTCCGCTGGATAAGAACTCATGTACATACTGCTCATCCCCCTTCAATCGGTCCGGCTATGGCCGAGATGCTGTAGGTCTCTCCCGTGTCGGCATCAAAGACCTCCTGATGGCATTGTGTGACACCCTACATGCGCTCCAAATGAAGGGGGTAGTCTGAGGTTTGGGACACTTCACAAGCCACCTCTGGAAAGCACATCCAAGGAATGAATGTCATCTCCTTCCAGTCACCAGTCACCCGTCACCCACGAAAAGCATCACCTGTGGTGGGGCCACTTGTGGCCCTCACTCTGGTCTCCTTGTGTCCGAACTGGTACAAGGTGGACGCCTCCCGGATGCCTCGGGGTCCCATCTGTGCGCCGCTGCGAAATTGAGTGCCTCCGCCAGAGAGCATCAGATCACCAAAGATTGGTGGGTGGGGAATTGATTAAAGCTTGACGTGATTGGCAGCCTCCAACACCTCAAAATCACCTGAAAAAAAAATAAACACGAGCAACATCAAGCAACCAATTGTGTCAAAATTGGGTGCTATTTTTCCATCCGCTGTCAATCGAAGGATGTCCACTGTGTTCGGGTGGAGATGATCTAGCTTCAACAGCCCAGGGTCATAATCAATGCAATGAACATTTGACAAAAAAAATACACACTTCTGACAAGAGTCCATCTTCCATCTTGATGTTGAATATATGTCCTAATATAGATCAGTTAATATCAGGCACTAAGCCCCTATTCCAAGTGGATGGCCTCTATTTTTCAGAGAGACAAAGGGGAAAAACAAACAGAGTACTATACACTTCCATCTTTTTCCAACTTTTTAGGATGGGGGCTGCTACAGATTCCCTGCGAAAGGGGATCTCCAATAATATGTGCAGCGGTCAAAACATGATGGTCATTCTGCTGCCGTGGTATGGTATCGCTCTTTGAGGTTCCCTATCGCTCCAGACATTCCCAATCAGAAAACAAAGAACCCCATACAGTATAAGCATGTACAATCTCCTTCAACCCGCAGGATTCTTTGTGGTTCCTCTCAGAAGCTCCCGTAGGTAAGCCTCTGCTGTTTCAACAAATTGTTAAGGCCTTCGACAAGCGCTTTGCTACGTGGCATGAGGAAATGCTAGTAGCATTAGTGAGTTGTTGCTCAGCACATGGGGAGGTGGCTAGGACTGGACTTCTGAGCTATCGCTCCAGGTATTTGGGTACTGTATCGCTCTAAATCAACGGGTTTCTTTTTACAAAAACAATGTCAACATATTGGGTGGGAGTTAGCATGTTAGCATATTCCTGGATATTCCTGAATCAGGTATTGCTCTTCAGGGTTCCCTATCACTGCACACAGTGATTTCAAAGTTCTACAAAGTCAATGGCTGTGCGACGGGTCACCTCCAAAACTCTTCATAGCATGGTTTGTCCCTTCCTCATATGTCCAATCATAGCGAGAAGTCCTCGCTTTACCCCAGGTCACCATGCTTTTAAAAGCTAAGAAACACGTGTCTTTTTTCCCAACAACATCGGCCAAACACACCAAGCCCCCCATGTCCTACCCAGCCACCCATGTCGTTGGGCACTCCCAGCACGGCGAAGTCCGGGCGCTCACGGACTCGTTGGAGCTCCGTCCAATCACTCAAGGGCGGATACCTGCGGAACGGCCCGCGCGGTCCGCGCGGAACGGCGAGGAGCCACTGAGCCGGAGACGAGTGGGTTGAAGGTTGGTCCCAGGGTCGGAGAAGGATCTGTTACACACCCTTGGTGCCCTCGGCCAGCTATAGTCGTGAAATCAAATGGCCGACTATAGCTGTGCTCCCAAAGGGTCCCGAAGCATTTTCTCCAGCCCTGGTGTCTTGTTATGTCATTTTGTATGGCTTTGGCACGCAGAAACTCCGATGTTCATTCGGTGCTCGAAACTTTGTTCCATGAGGTTCTCTGCCTGCGCTATGCACAACCCTCTTGCTCCTAACATCTGACTCCTCTGCTCCTAACATCTGACCTACTCCCATCCCAACAGGCTGTCAGGTAGCTTTGGCCCGCACGTGAAGGGAACGCTGTCATTTCTCCTTCATCCTCTTTCAACCCAAACCGTCAGACACCATCAGCGGCTTGTTCACTCCGAACGGAGCGAACAGACCGAAGGGAGCCTCTTTCAACGGAGAGGGTTCACCAACGATCCAGACCAAGCGACCAAGTCCCACAGCCAGCTCTGTCCCGGCACCAAGTCCTACCATCGAATTCGCTGTCCAAGGTGCTTGCCGAAGGTTGTATGCCCCACGAAAGGCAAGTGAAGCCTCCCATGCTCGTAGCCACCTGGCACCGAAACTCGTGAAACCTTTTTTTGAGGCCCCCTTTGGTTGCAGTATGTCAGAGTCAAAGAAAGACCCATTGGCCCATGGGCAGGTACTTGAACTTTCAGTGGAGATGGAGATGGATTTATATAAGCTTTAAAGAAACCATAGTCCCAGTGGTCGAGGTTTTCGGGGACGTTCTTCTCAAAGGTCCCTCACTTGAAAAAAAAGCCGAAGGTCTCGAAGGTCTCGGTCCCTCGCTTCTCCAGCCGCAAGCGGCCGCAAGGTCTCTGGTGCCATTTCTGGTGGGTCAGAGGACTCTGACTCTGTACATTCCGGACATCATCTCCAAAGGGATCTTCACCGATTTTTCCTTCGAGACGGACACATCTGCATTCGGACGGACACACGTGGGGTGTAGTCGGTGTTTGGGGGTGGCTGTCGAGGGTGAAAGTATGCCAAACTACACAAGGACAGAGTCAATCATAAGACATGAGGATGAGGATACTTATTATCTTAGCAAGAAATAGTTTTTCCACAAATAAGTCCGCTTAAGATGCTTAAGTACAGCTCTCCGCTTCAAACGATTCTGCATGGGCTGCTGATGGGGAGAAATGCTCCAGCCCAAAGGCTGTCAAGCATGATGTTACTTCCTCGTGGAGTTGTAGCATTCCCCAATGTATAATCTCGATTGATCTCGTTTATTATGTCGCTGTCTGTCTCCATCAAATAAATGAGGCCTTCGCTTTCTGCGCTTGCACTCGCGCAGGACAGAATGATGCTCACAGCAAACAGCCCCATGGTGATGAGGAAGCAGTCTAAGAGAGGAGTCCAAGACTGTTTCCCACTGATGGTATGTTGGTGCATCAACTGCGTTTGGCTCCGTGTTAACATTTCTCAAGAACTGTCCACATAGTCCCGGCCTCTTCTAAATGATCTTCCAAACTCTCCAGATGTTCTATGTTTATTATGTTTGCTGGGGGAGAGAAGCTGGCTTCTTGACGGCTCAGCAGTTCAAAAGTTCAAGCCGATGCACAAAATCTGTGCATCTTGGCTGGCAACATCTGGCAATGGCAAGAAATCAGAAAAATTATGAAACATCATGAAACATCTAATTGACTCATGAGACTCGTTTCTTGGATCTAGATGGCTGCGGATCAAAGCCTGGTAGGTTCCCCTTCCAGGTAGTCGTCTATTCTTGTCATGTTTGGTGGTCTGGGCCAAGGTATCTATTCTAAAGAAAGCAAAGCAGTCTGTAGGTTGACCGAAGTACATAGCGATTATGTGTACAATTTCAGAACAAGTGGGACAATTCCCCTGTTCCAACGGTGTTGATGTTGTCCGCCTCGGTGGCTTTCAAAGGCATGTCTATATATCTTTAGTTTGTTTGTATGATTCTTGCTTGATTGGTCTTCGGCAATTCCCTGGACAGGGCAGTCAAACTGGCGGTGTCGTGCGGTGGCCAACGACTAGCTCCACTCCAAACAAATGTCCGGTTCCTCCAGTCCCTATTGAAAGGCCATTCTTCACCAGGCATCGGCGGCGACGATCTTCCCCACCATCAGTACGAAGCTGCTGAGTTGTCTCGCACGCGCGACCAGTTGCAAAGCCTGACGTTGTGACGCTACAAGCACAAGGATTTACCAGGCTATGACTGGACTCTTGGCCAAAACAAACTGCTTGCGTCCTCAAAGATTAGCATCCATGGGGGAAACAACCCAACCCTGGAATCCTCAGGAAAACCTTTCTGATGATTTCACCTTGACAGCAACATCTGCTGCCAATGTATGACAGCACTATCTTCACTGAAGTGACATGCTTCAGGTTTTGTGAGGAGCTCTTGGGGTTGACAGTCTTGACCTGATCAACGTAGCAGCTTCGGGCTTTTGCCACGAGAGGTCACACGGTTTTGGCCTGTTCTGGCTCTCTGGCAAAGCGATGGAAGATCGCAGCATGCAAGAAGTGCTCACCTCAAAACGGGTGACAGCCCGATGAGGTATGAACCAATACATGAAGCCAATGACTGACTGGTGCGTCGAAAGTAGGACCCCCAACCCCACACAAAGAAAGAGATACCGATCAGGATCCAGCCACCATGCCCTTCCGAACACGATTCGCACGAGTCAGATGAGTCTTCGTCGCACGAGTCGCCCACATGAGTTCTGGTGGGCGATGTGTTTCTGAATTCTTACGTCTAGAGTCTAGACACTTCAGGCCCTATGGAGGCTGGTTGTTGAAACATGTTGACACATGTTGAAACATGTCCTCGATGTTCCAAAGGAAAACACAACGTCTATGGAGCCTCTGACCCCACCACGCTTTACGAGTCTTAGGTCCCTAGATAGAAAGGAGATCAAACAAAAGAGTATGTTATAGTTGGTCCCTACCTTTTGTGTATACATGTTGATACATTTGGCAGTCCTACCAGTTTTAGCATCTGAATGTTGGGTCAGGTTCTTCTTCCCGGTCTCACAACACATTAGATCCATTAATTTATCAAGGGCTCATTTTAGCACTTTCGCGCAGGTATTTGGGAGGTCTGAGTCTGTTCTTCATCTTCATGACTCGCTCGGTCTCTATGGGGGTTTGGCCGAGATCCACAGCCCCCAGCGTCCCTTGATGTCTTCGCTGCGGCACCGTGCAAGGTGATGGTCGCAGCGGAGCTCAGTTGCACTCCTCAGCTTAGGAGGTGAAACATCTTGGAGGTGAAATGCATGGAAATGGAATACACGCAGTACATCATACAATATGGACATGTATGGAACACTTCAAAATGCAAACGGGACTGTGACATCTGTCCCTGACATACTTCTTGCACGAAACCCCCTTTCTACACACTTTTAAACAAAACTGTACGGCCCATATAGTAAGTTAGTTCCAGGTCAATACACTCCCCTTGAGCCCCCATTGGAACCCCAAGAACCCTTTCTTTGCATGGTGGTTGCACTGTGGTACTGGAGTTTCTCTTTCACTCTAGCACGCTTTGCTGTAGAAGGATTCCACTATGATCATTATGCCAGAGGTCCCAGGTGCCCTGACCACAACCTGTTCCCCACAAACACCACTACCTCGGTTTCACCGAGGTTCTCACTGGCGTGGCATCAGGCCGATGTACAGCAAAAGTCCTGATCGCATTGTCCATCGAATCGATGCTGATGGTGCCTTCCTGAGGAGTTGCAGTTCAGGATCGATCGATGTCCGATCGATTTGAGTTCTTTTTCTCTTAGAGAACACCTCAACCCCTGCCGCTTCATTTCTTCCCAGAACCTGGTCGCAGCCTGCACTTCAAGTGGTGGCCCTAACATCCAATCAGAACTCAATCTCCCCCCTCGGTGTTCGCGAAAGAGAATTGGCAGTCACTGACTGGGTATAGGTCGAAAGCGAAATCCTCCATGAACTGGCGAAAACAAAACACCTTTTATAATAACACAATCAACAACATGGCGAAAGGACCAGTTGACTGTTGGCCACAAAAATCTACACAAAACAGCAGCTGGGTTTGGGTGTTTGGCCTTGACCCAAGTAATGTTCAGTCTCACACCGCCATGGTCAAAAGTATGCTTTAATTATATATATATATGTTAAAACATACTTGTTCAAACCTCAGCCTCAAGATCAATGTCCACCCCCTCTTAAGCCACAAGAACTCCCAAAGAGCATCGCTGTCCACGTGCTCTCTTAAGTTCTGGTGAAACACCCTACGTTGGTCCTTCGGATTCCTTCAGCTCAGTGGCGGGGTGGTGCTCCGGCCGACGCACCGCATAGACGAAGCTCTGTGGCGCGTAGCTGGGACCTCTGGGATGTGGACCGGGATGTCGCAGGTCATAGGTGGGTCAGCTGAAAAACCCTGTGAAGGATGGGCGAATCGCCCATGTTGGATCTTCCCAAACCTATGTTTTGACATGATTTGAATGGGCTTCAAACGAAATTGCACACATGATACATCATGATACATCATGGTACCCAGCTGGCAAATCTACATTTCTTACACTACTACACTGGGACCTTGACCGACACATCATCCAGTTGCTGTTGTGGCTCAATATGCTGCCGCAGAATCACGAGGAGGTGTCCAAAAGCCACATCAGCTGTGCTTTTTTGGTTGCTTTTGGGGTATACAGTTTTGGGGTGCGTACACTGCAGCCACGCAGGGATAACGCTTCTGCAAAGGGTACCTATGCGAACCTTCGCGCAATTGCTGGTGGCTACGCGAGCGCCTGCGCAAGGGACCGTTTTAAGCGCTAGCACACGAGGATGATGAGGAAGAACCCACTGCACACCATGCCATGGTCAACCCAATTCATTGAACACGATGAGATTCTGACATCTTCATGGCAAGTATCCATAGATTCATCAAAACTGTAAACCCTTGCACACCATCATACCCACACAACCAAAGCGACAAAACGACCCGCACCCGTGCCAAGCCACCCAAGAGGACGCGCCCATGGAAGTGAATGTACTCGCCTCATCGAGGAAACACTCGGAATTAGGTCTTGGATGCCCAAGAAACCGCGATCGAGTTCTCTTATAGGCCCCAACAACGCCACTGCCAGCTGCACTGGACACACGCTGATCATAACGCCAAGTCCACACAGTCCGGGTACGAGTCGACTCACCCGGGTCAAGAGGTGATGTTTCAAGGCCCCTGGGCACATCCGAGATCCATGCGGGTTCAGCAAACAGTCGGGTCCCATGAGTCTAGCGACAAAAATCGGGACAGGTCATGAAAACTCCAGGTCCATGACATGGCATTTCGGTTGGTAGATCAAGGTACCAGGACCGTCCAAGGACGGGTCTATCAATTCCTGGAAGCCTTTCCTGGTGGGACTGACGTCCATTGGACGGACTGGAAAGGAACCCCGTCGCGGTGGGATTCCAAGGAACTCCACCGCCTGTCCAGATAATGCCAGCCAACTGAAGACCAGACATAAACTATGTCGAACATTCATCTGAACATGCCTGCGGTTCTTGTGTCAAACCCTGAGCACTAGTGGCACTCTGACCGTAACAAGTTGACTTGAACTGCTTCGGACTCAAACGCCAGGGAGCACCATCTTGACGCCTCCGCGCGTTTTTCGATGAGCCAAGCCCTTTTCGGCCAAGCTGCTGAAATCTGCACTGCGGAGGGTCTTGCCCAAAGCGTTGGAGAGCTGTTGATGGAGCAATCCTCGATTTGGACGCTGCCCCGCGGGTGAATCATCTTCGGACAGTGGAGGAGCTAGGCAAAGGCAAACCAGTTGCGGACGCGGGGTTCCACATGCCAAGCAGGTTCACAACGAAAGGTAGCATTCTGGGAGGGGGTGAGGGAGAGGTTGTAATAGTTCTTATTTAATCTATTGTCAAGGGATCTCTATGGATGTGCTTGGTCCCTTGGGGCCTTGGTCCCTTGGGAGACCCTCCAGGCAACGGCTTTGTGGAAGTCTGGAAGGTTTGCAACATCGATCAGGCGACGCATTGGGCCAGGAGACCTCCCTATTACTGAAATACACACTGACACACCCACATCTGAGATCATCTGAGCTAATGTATGGACTATTGATTAATAACCCCCACAAAGCCTCTTCATATATGGCAGAGTTTGATTAATCAAGAGTCTACATTTAACTGATCTTCCTGCAATTCCCAGGGCCAAGCGTCCCTCCAAGGCTTGCACCGCCTGGATCATCTGCTGTGCCAAGCTGCTCATCTCCTCGGTCGCCGCTCCAGCGGTCGCCGGTCGCACGCCGAGCGGTCCACCCAAAACCCCACCCCAAGCGGAGCTACTCTTTTGACCCGCGAGACAAACGTCCACCAGCATAGCAGAACACAAACGTTGACAAGTGCGTTTCTGGAGGCCATCCTGCAATCCACCCCAAGCCTGCCACCTCTCTTGGAGAGGCCCAAAACAAACACTCCAGGGAGGTGTTGATCAGGTTAATCT